CGGACGAGAGAGCCGAGAGCGAGAGCGTGAGAGCGATAAGACGACGGCGCAAGCGAGAGCGAGCAGCGTGAGAGCACCCCCGTGCGCGAGCCGAGAGCGAGAGCGAGAGCAGACGCTGAGAGCGAGGGAGAGAGATGAGATACCGAGGAAAGGAGAGGAAGAGAGGAAGAGAGAGGAGAGGAGCGGACCGACGACGGAAGAGAGGAAGAACAACCGAAACGAGAGAGAGAGAGAGATCGAGAGAAGTACCGGCCAGAGTGAAAGAGAGAAAGAGAGAGAAAGAGAAGAGAGAGAGAGAGAGAAGAGAGGAGAGAGAGTAAGAAGAGATGAGAGAGAGAGAGAGAGAGAGAGAGAGAGAGAGAGAGAGAGAGAGAGAGAGAGAAAGAGAGCAGATGAAGAGAGAAGAGAGAGAGAGAGAGGGAGAGAGAGCACAGAAACCGAGACCAGAGCGAAAGGCGTACTCCCGTGACCCGCTTATCCGTAGCAGCATTTCTGCCGTTTTCTAAATATTAGATGATGCAGAAAACGGATATAAATAATAAAATTGAACCATACACTGTCATAAAAGGAGGAATATTAGATTACAATTACAGTGCTTAGAGTCAGTGACTAATGATTTTAGGATTCCCTGCGTCACTTTCTTGTTTATTGCACTACATAAGATGATATAAAATAAATATTTTATTAAGCCAATAAAGTAACATCATTCAACAACATAAAATGCACTCGCATCTCATCAAAGAAAATGTAATAGTTGTATAACTAAAGAAAATGCGACATTAAACCTGTAAACTTGATTTATGTATAAAGTATACGATTGTTCACTGTGAGCGTGTTGCAGGGCTGAGGGTTTAAAGTCACTGTATGGGAATATGTCTGCCTTTGGTGATGCCCAGCTGAAAGACCGGCTGAAGCGACATCGAAGCAGATTTTTTCATGTTTGATTTATTTAAACAAGGGAAAATAATTCGTTATTGCTTTAAATATTTATCATTTGCATGCAATCATAAATAACAAAAAACAGCCCGCGGAAAAAAAAATCCGTAGTTACGTCACCATCCGTCTTTTGTTTCCGTTTGGGAGACGAATTTCCGTAGAAATCCGGCGCTGCCCATTACCCGATGCAACAGACATCTGTCCCGCCCCACGAGCACGCAGGAGACAGGTCGGCTGGTTGCCCTCGAGCGGCCGCGTTGTAAAGGAGAAATGCCTGTCCGATACCCCCTCCTCCCCCCCCTCCCCCTCCTCCGTAGCCCGTCTGTGCTGTTGACTCACATCCAAGGGCAGCATAACATGCATACTTAAATTCTCGTAGTACCTGCTGATGTGTAAGTTACATCCCGCACAACGCCATCTTCCTGTCACTTTTAAACCTTCCCGTCTCCTTTGTAGTCTCGCCGCCGCTGGTAGAGGGCAGCAGCGGCCCTCCGGAGCTCCTCTATTTATGAAACAGCTGCAGGAGAGAGCGAGCTTGGGGGGTGGGGGGTTTGGGGTTTCCTTCGTATTGCTGAGGAACGAGGGAGGGGGGAGAGGAAAAGGGGAGAGAGAGAGAGGGTTCTATCGCGATTTAGAAAATTGTAACTCTGTCGTGTTCAAATTTCGATTAAGAAAAAAATCGTATATATGTTTTTCTTTGGTTTTATTTTTTTTCGTTTTGTTTTGTTTCAAGGATTTCTGTCCCTCTCATCTCATCCTCTGTCCCTCCCTTCTCCTCTCCTCCTTGCTCTCTCCCCTGCCCTTCCTTTCCCTTTCCCTCTCTCCCCATCCCTCTCTGCCTCCCTCTCTTTCCATCCCTTTCCCTTCTCCCTTCCTTTCCCCTTCTTTTCCTCCCTCTCCTTTCCCTTCCCCCTTCCCCCCTCCCGTTACTTTTCCTTTTCCCTCCCTTCCCTTTCCCCTTTTCTCCATCTCCATCTCCCATCCCCTTCCCTTTTCCCATTCCCTCCTCCCTTCCTCCTCCCTTCCCCCCTTCTTCTTTCCCCTCCCCTTCCCTTCCCCCCTCCCCTTCCCTTTCCCCTTCCCCCCCTCCCCCCCTCCCTCCCCCATCCCCACCACACCCGAAGACTATAATTAACCATAGAGACTCACGAACAATTATTTATATTGGCTCCAACTTTAGACATGGAGGTGTATTTATAGATGAGCTATTTATAAGGACAGAAAGAAGTACCAGAAGAAGAAGAACAGTAATAACTCCTTCCTACACCCTCTCCCCTCAACTCCCCATCCCCCCCCCCCCCCCCAAAAAAAAAAAAAAAAAAATAGTAATAAAAACAGGAAAAAAACTATATAATCGCAAAAAAAAAAAAAAAAAAAAAAAACAAGAGTATGTATAAACCTGGCCAGCTCGTAAGTCTGAGAGAATTGTGGGCGAGCGAGGACATAAATCCTAGG